GACTATGGGACATAAAATGATACTCGTGAAGAGTGTGCATCTTAACTCGAGTAGATACATGAGAGTAAATGGGCAGCTTCTGTCCAGAGGTGAGATGAGAAGGCAGAGAGGGTCAGGAGCTGGTTGAATGGACACGGGAAATCTGGGGTGGAAAGGAGGAGTGTGCTGTCACAGTATAGGGAGAGCAACTAGGGTCACATAACAATGTGTGTATAAATTTTTGTATGAGAAACTAACTTGAATTGTAAACTTTCACTTAAAGCACAATTTAAAAAAAAAAAGTTTAGATTCAAATTTTGGCTTTGCCATTCACCAGCTGAGTCCTTACACAAGTCACATAGCTTCTCTGAGTGTCTGTTCCTTCATCCATAAAGTGGGGCTCATTCTGGCAGTTTGTGAGGCTAAAATAAGATTATGTCCAGAACGTATAATATGGCGAGATCTGGCATATTTAAGTAATAAATATTAGCTGCTGTTGCAACCATTATTATTATCACTGTTATTATTATTATTAACATCAATGACTAGCCATACTTTCGGGTTTAAAATCTGCTTATGTCCTCTGTGCCCATGGAAAAAATGGAGCCTGGTCTTAGGTGTATTTTTATGGTGATAAACAAGCTCCCTTGGTTTTGGGAGACTTGCCTGTTCTTTCATTTCATTCATTCATTTAGCAACAATTGAAGTTTTCCCAAGGAGCCCACAGAGCTCAGGGGCTAGTAGGAGAGACCAATGTGAAAACATGTAATTATAGTAAAATAGTGTTGTTGTAGATAAGGTTTCTGGACACCTAGGGGACAGATGTTGGAGGAGGGGATGCACCCTGCTGGAGGTAGAGGAGCAGAGAGGGAAGGCAAGACAGCAAGTAGGACTGTGTTCTTGAGCTGAGCAAACCATGGGGAGGGGTTTGCTGGGTGGCCAAGAAAAGAAGGGTGCTCCTCCTGGCGCAGACCTCGAGGCGGTGGGCCTGACCCATTGTGAGGGTGGGGAGGAGCCCAGATGAGGCTGGAGAGGTGACCTCCTCAGATGCCATTCCAGGTGTGGGACAAGGCTGTGGGTGATGGAGAGCCATTGGAGGGTTTCAGGTGGGGGGCGCAGTGATCCAATCAGATCTGTACTTTAGAAAAAATCCTTTGGCAGCTGCACAAGGGGTAGGATAGTGTCTCAGTCATCTAGTGCTACTTTTTTTCCAATAGAAATACCACAAGTGGATGGTTTCAACAAAGAAAGTCCATTCTCTCACAGTCCAGTAGGCTACAAGTCCAAATTCAGGGCATCAGCTCCAGGGGAACGCTTTCTCCGTCGGCTCTGGAGGAAAGTCCATGTCATCAGTCTTCCTTTGGTCTGGGAGCTTCTCTGCGCAGGAACCTCAGGT